AAAAAAAAAATCCCCTAAAAAAATCCAATAAAAATAAAAAAAACCAGAAATGACCGCAAATTAAGATCCATCAGAATAAAAAAAATTCAGTTAAAATTTTAATTAATCGGAAATGTACTGATTAGTTTAAAGATCAGTAGTCAGGATTCAGGAATTTCCTTAAATTATGATGATAAAATGAAATAGATCGGACGCAAGAATATCACACTTTTATGTTACACAATTCAAATTACAGGGTAATCTAAATATGAAAAATTTTTTTAGATTTTTTTTTAGCTTTTTTAATTTTTTTTTTTATTCTCAAAATTTGAATTTTTTCTTTTTATTCTTGAGTTTTTCTTTTTCGCAAAATTTAGAGTTCTTTTTTTCGTAAAATTATATATATATTTGTAAAAAAAAAAGGTAATGGGGATAAAAAATCAAGGTATAGTTATCATATTATTATTTAAAGCGTTATTTTAATAATTTTTAAAATTCTTTTTATTTTATTTATTTTTATTTATTTAGAGATGCGATCAGAAAAGCGAAAACCGTATTTAGTAATCAAACAAGCATCAAAAGATTATGCGGAAACCTTTTTTAAAAAAATCTAGTATTATGGTATAACGAACGTGAAACAAAATTATTTAAAGAAAATTTTGTTATTGGACAAATTAAATAGATTTATTAGACGAATTTATTAAAAAAATTCAATTAACAAATTCTATTAAAAAAAATTATTTAAAATTAATTCCATTTGATGAATTTGAAAATATGTATAATATTATTAGAAGAAGGTGGTTATAGTAAAGTTTATCTCGCTTCTTGGAATGATGGACTTTATTTTGGTACGATGAAAGTTTGGATAAATGAAGTATAAAAACATAGTGGTGATTTTATTTGGAAGTTAATTTATGAAGAAGCTCCTAATAATGTTAGAGAAGTTGGTTATGCAATACGCAAGTGGAGGAGATTTATTACGTCAATATCTTCAAGATAATTTTGTTGAAATTGATTGGTATCAGAAAATTTCCATATTGTTAGAAATAGCGAAAGGACTGAAAGCTATACATAATCATGGATACGTACATCGTGATTTTCATGGTGGAAACGTTTTATTAGATCTTTCAGAAGAAAATGAAGAATCAAAATATAACGTTACACAAAATATGATATATTAATTTCAGATCTTGGATTATGTAATGTATATTTTCTGATTCCTTATCATATAGTAAAAAATTTTATGGTATAATACCCATAACACCAGAAATATTATCAAATATTGGTAACGATGATGAAAAAGAAGAAATATATACTAAAGCTTCAGACGTTTATTCTTTCGCGATGATAATGTGAGGTCAACAATCTTTTGTTCATTTTTCTCATGATGAAAATTTAATAATAGAAATTATTAATGGTTTACGTCCTGAAATTATTAAAGGAACTCCAAAATCTTATTTAGATTTAATGATAAAATGTTGGTTTAAATAGACCAAATATTAATGAAATAATTGAAATTATTGAAAATTAAAAAATTCAATGAAATTTAAATCCTGAAATAATTGAAGTAGCTGAAATTGAAAGAATAGAATTGGTTAAAAGTAATGATTGGATTCTTTTTAATAGTAATTATAAAAATCCTGAAGCTTTTTATTTTAGTAGAGATTTAAATTTCTGAAAATTTATTTATAGTAAAGATAATACGGTATCTGGTATATATATTTTATAATTTGTTAAATAAAATTTAATGTATCAAATAAAATAATTATACAATATACATTTTGTCTCGGTAATGAAAATAAAATATCGGTGGTTAGATTTAACTAATAAAATTTGTTATATCCAGTTAAAAAAATATGAATAAATGTTTTACGTGATATTTTATCTTTTGCTATAAAGTTGAATTATTAATATTCTATGAAATATCATACACCACACAAATTTCTTTGCGTATTTTCACAGGTGTAGATAATAAATTTCCAACGGTTATCTTTCAATAAAAAATTCCTGAAACGAAAGATTTTCTTTATATATTTACAATTTTTAAAAATTTTCAAAATATGTGAATAAAACAAAATGATAATAAGAAGAAAGTAAATAATTATAATATGCTAAGGATATCATTTAAATCAAGTAAATTTTCCATTTCTTTTCTTGAAAAATACTTATCTTTGAAAGTTTCTGGAACATTTGAGAAAAATTGGTGATAATCTGGTAACAAATAACCCATTAAACTCATGTTGGGAATGGGAGTTATTCCACTAGTATATCCATCTCCATGTCGAACATAATCTATTTGCTAAGTATATTAAGAATAATGTTATATTTAGTTCTGAGAGGAAATTAATCTGAATAAGTAAATAGAAATATACCATTTCAATAGAATTTATTTCAATTGAAATTTGAGAATAAGATGTATAATATCTTAAATTCTGATATTCTATCCAACCTAATCCCTCAAGTTTTGACACATCTTCATGTTTTAACATATGCTCACTTTGATTATATTTCTATAATTGAGTTAATATTAATTAAAATTAATATAATGATAGAGATTTTAAATAATTAACTTACATTATCATTATATATACTAAATTTTATAAAGCAATTTTTAGATAATATTTTTTTAACATTTATTTTATAAATAAGAAGATGAGCAGAATTATTATATATTATAGGCAAATCTAAACGAAGTTTTTCATTTTTAGAACACATTACCAGCCCTGATAAACTTTGATTTTGAAATTATGGTTAATTTGGCTAATTGGTATATGATAACTTGACTTAAAAGTACTATTATAAATAAACTTTACCTGCTTACATCACTTTCTTGAAATTTACAAAGTTCACTATTTAAATTTGTAAGATTTGAAATAAAATATACTTCTTTTTCTAATGAGTTAAGATATTAATAATTAACTTAAATAGAAGAAAATAAATAATTTAAATAATTTCTTACTTTTATACATGTATTTACTAAATTCATTAACAATTCCAAATTTGGTAAAATCACATGTGTCAATTTCACAAACTTTATATAAATATGACCAAAAATACGAATGCTTTTGTAATAAATGAATATATGAAATAGCTTTATAGCAATTAAATAACATATCCAGATCTACAATAGTTTCATAATATTCTTTTAATTCAATGTGTATTTTACATCTAATTAAAAGTAATAATTTATTCTTACTAATATTGGGGATTTGATTGATTTTTGTCAATATATTATTTAAATCTTTAGAACTATTTTTATTTAGTAAATATTCTAGATGAAATAATTGGGATTTTGCTAAACTATTACTATCAGAACTCAGTAATTTTAATAATTCTGTATACTTTTCAAATAATATTGTGACATTATTGATGTCATTTTTTGTATAGTATGTTAGAATTTTAAGATAATATGCTGAACTATTTAATGGATCTAATTGCATAATTTTATCAAGATCTAATAAAACTTTATCATATTCCTGAATAATATAGTATGCAATAGCTCTCTTATTCAAATTATGAATATTTTCTGGATCTATAATATTTGCTTTTGTAAAGTATAATATAGCTTTACTATATTGTTTCATATTATATAAAATTTCTCCATAATAACATAAAATCAAAGAATCCTTCTTGTTAATATTTAACAATCTATCTAATATCACTAAAGCATTTAAATAAAATCCTTGTTTTTCATAACTGTATGCACAATTTTTAAGGCACAAATAATTACTTGGATCATTTTTTAATGCAATATTATAATTTTCTTCAGCTGTTGTGTAATCATTGACCAAAAAATTACGTAATAGGTAACTATTTCCAAGTATTGTATATAAATTAGTTAATTTTGCTTTGTATTCTAACGATTTTTTTAAATTATCTATAGCTTCATTATATCTATTTTGTCTAAAATATATTTCTCCACAAATAAAATAAGCAACTGGTTTTTTGTGATTTAAATCAATAGCTTCTTCTAAGTATAAGTGAGCTTGTTCATAATTGTTAAGACATCTATAAATATAAGCTAAAATACATCTTGAAGAATAACTTTTAGGAAAAAAATTTAAAAATTCCTTACATAATGATTCAGCTTTTTCATAATGTTTTTCATTTATTTCTTTTATAATATTTTGATATGTTGGATGTTGTTTTTTTGTAATTCTTGAAAGTAATGATGATGATATATTTGAATTTAATTTAATAATTGGATTCATAAATTTCTTTTTTTTAGTTAATATAAGTTCAACTTCTGAATTATCTGAATCATCGCTGTCATATAGTTGATCAGAATTTTCTAATTCAATTGAAGGTAAAATATGTCCAGATTCAAAAAATTTTGTATATAAATTTTTATAAATTGAATTTTGTGGTAAATATCTAATATCATTATCTTCAATTTTTTCCCGACAATTAGGACATATTTTTTGTTTTAATTTTTTTAAATTGCTTATTGCTAATATATGTTGGCATTTTAAAATACATAATTGATCAGTTGGTTCACTATTAATTGGACAAGTAATTTCATCTGCTATAACATCTAAAATGTTAGAATTTGATGTTTGTTTTTTCTTTAAATAAGAATTTTGATTTAAACTTTTTCCTTTTCCCTCTTTTCCTTTTCCAGTATTATTACTTAAAATTTTTAAATCTTCATGATATTTCTCTTTGACAAAAGTTAATAAATTTCGAAAATTTTCTAAAGAATCTTCCAAATTATTTTCACTTAATTTTTGTGTGTATTGATCAAAATCAATTTCAATCATTGAAAACATTTTATTATCAATATTATATAAATGTAATAATAATTCAATAGATTTAAACTGAATAAAACTACTTGGTGCTTTATTAAGTGATTCAATTGCTAAATAATAACAAAGACCATATGTTGCTATCCGGGATGATCTTTGGATAAGATTTTGTGCAAGATCTAATATTCCAAACCACAAAGTATGTGGTAATGCAATAGGTTCATTTCCGGCAAGTTCATTTAAAAAGCTCCCAGCATTTTTCAAAGCCTTAACGACTTTATTTGATACTTCATCAAATTTTGTTTGGGAATCTAAAATAGATTTATCTGCGGAATAAACCCATTCTCTTTCCAAAAAGCTCCAGATATATTCCATAAGTACCAATTCACTAAATTTTTTACTAATAATCTTTTCAGAACTTTCAGACCAAATGAAAAGATTATTTTGAATTATTAACATAATTCTCCAATCTACATAATAAGATGCTACTGGATATTTAAAACTTAAACTTTGACGTATTTGAGTAAGCATTGATAAGATTGAACAATCACTTGGAAGATTGATTCCTACTATTGTTAGAATTCCTGGAGTAATATTCAATGCAGTCTTAAGTAAGTCTCTAATTCTTCGTATAATTTCTTGAAACCAAGTTTCATCATCACGTAAACTATGAAGAGTATCTCGTAAATGGATTAATAAAAAATCAATATTATAATTACGCTTTTTAATAATTTGTTCGTCTTGATCATTACTTTGTTGATTGAATTGATTGAAATTTTGTCTAAAATTATTATCAAGTCCTATTTCGATAACTTGAGTTGTTTTACGATGAATTTCTGCAAATTTTGCTAAAGAATTATAAACTTTATCTCGAAGTTCTTTACTAAGTACTATTGGCGAAAAACATATCCTTTCTAAGATGGTAACCAAAGTTCTTAAATGTAATTCTAATCTAGCAACACTTTCTTTTGAATAATGATTAAAAGGGGTATCAACTAAAGCTTCTAATGAATTTGCTAAAACTTGTGATGAAAACTCATTTTGTAAATTTTCAAAAAGCAATTTAAGTGTGTACAAATAACTTGGTTTAGTTAGATTTTTTAAAAGTTCATCTACTTTGTCATCTGGCATAATGAATCCATCCTCTTCTAATTTGAGAAGAATACGATTGTTTGACATATTTTCATACAAAATCGTTTTATATGAAAGAAAGTTATTATTTTCTAAGTTACTAGGAGCAGTATTGGTAGGAGAATTTCCACTCTATTTTACATAAAATGAGTTTTAAAGATTTTTTAATTAAATTTTAATATTTCTCAAAATAATAATTTACCTGACTTGAACTTGAACTTCCTTCCATTTTATTTACTACAAAATGAAGTAAGAAAATATTAATTCTATTGTGACGACAGAATTTAAGTAAAAAAACAATCAGAATGTGTGTAACATAATGGCGTGCATTTGTACTTCTAACATTCCCATATTTAATGTAATGTAATTTATGTAAATTCTGAATGCTAATCAGCGTGATTTTATTCTCGAATAATCATTGGATAATTTTTTAAACATAATATACAGTCAGCTCTCACTTTTTGATTTGACGAATTATTTAATACAACGGATCTTCACTGTGGTACAGATTTTAACATATATAAAAAAATTTTTATATTGAACTTTACTAGTTAAATGCTGTATGAAGTACATTGTATATAAGAAATGACTCACTTTTTAACGAATTTTTATTTTTTTTTATTACAACGAAGGTTTTTTTGCGAGATGACTTTTTACTGTAAAGGACAATTTATACACGAAATCATTCATCAGATATAGCAATATCACATGTTTAACATTTTCATTAATAAAATGATAGTGATGCATGTTCATGTTTCGCGTTTTGTGCTTTGTTATTTTCATATTTTATATTTCTTTTTTTTTTTGAGATGCCAAAAGCCAAGCCTATTAGTCTAACTAAAAAACAACTTTTTAATGAGATTCCTGCTCCTAAAAAACGTAAGTCTCTTACGGCTGCACAAAAGAAAGAAATTTGCTTAAAAAAAAATTCTCCACCTTTAAAAAAACAAAGATTTAGCTAAAGAGTACGATGTTAGTGAAGAGAAGATTAGTGATATTTTGAAGGCAAAAGACTGTTGGCTTGCTATAGACCTTAACTCATATCAGGCTGGTTTACGACGTGAAAGAAAACTTCCCTTTGTTATTATTGAAGATGCTTTAGATCTTTGGGTATAAAATGCACTTCGGGCCGGTCTTACTATAATAAGTGATAATATTCTTTCAACTAAAGCTTTGGAGTTTGTCTTTTTTATGTAATGAACATAAATTTAAAGGATCAGATGGATGGGTAGATAACTTTAAAAAAACGGCATAATCTTGAGCAATATAACATACATGGAGAAGCAGCAAGTGCACCACTTCAGAACTTGATGTAATGCGTGAAAATTTGCGTCAAAATTCTAAAAAATTATGATCTAGAAGATATCTTTAATTGTGATGAGATAAGCCTTTTCTGGAAAATGCGATCTAATCGCACTATATCTAATGGTTCTGTTGCTGGAACCAAGCAATCAAAAGATCGCACAACTGTTTTTCTTACATGTAATGCAAATTGAACTGAAAAATTACAACCATTATTGATACACAAATATGAGAACCCCGAGCTCTCAAGAATATTAACAAATATACTCTTCCAATAAATTACTACTGGAACACAAAAAGTTGGATGCAAGCATCC